TACTTAAACAGGAATATGTTAGTGTCTCAGAGCTTAGTTCTCCAATTTCTTATATTCTCTGCTGTCTTCTCTATAATCTTGCCATACGATGCATCTAGCTCCAAGATCTTTAAACATTTTATCCAAAATCTTTAAACCATTTATACACAAGTAACTCTTTAAATTCCTATATCTTCCCCACCATCTAAGGATCTCCCCCACTGAACCCAAACATGTATAACCAATTTTCTACTCAATATCTCACCTGAACCTTAAGGATCTAAAACTTCACATGACTAAAACAATAAAACAGAACCCCTGATTGCACTTATTTTCCTCACACACACATCCCTTCCAATTTCCCCTTCTCAGAAAATGGCACCACCAATCATTATATAATTACTGAAGCCAAGGATAAGATAAGATGTTGTTTTTGATTCCTCATTCCCTCACTTGTCACCTCCAAACCATGAGTAAATCCCATCAGCTTTAATTTTCATGTATACTCCAAATCAAACCTCCTCTCCAAATCTAATCAAACCACTCTAATCCAAGCATTATCTCTCACCTAATAACTGCAATGCACAGTAACTGGCTTCTCTGTAGCTGTTCACTGCCCCCTCCCCACCAATATCCTTCCCCACAGAACAGCTAGGAGTGATCTATAAACACCAAAGATAGAGAATGTCTGTTTCTGTTCACATCCCCAGTGCACAAAACACTGCCTGTCTCTTGGTAGACACTCAATGTGCTGAGTGAAACAACTGGGCCATCTCCCCTACCCTTTCATAACCAGCTTCCTCTCACAGGATAAAACTCACTTCTTATAATGCCTTAAATTGTTATCAGGCCTTCCTAACCTCACTTTCCTGCTCCTTAAGCTCTCGACTCACTAGTTTTGATAGTCCTTACACTCTCCAAATTCATTTCCACCTTGGAGCCCTTTCATTCCTCCCTTTATGTCTGGCACTTTCTCATCACTCAGGTCTCAGCCCAGTGTCACCTCTTTAGAGAGGTCTTCCCTGACTAGCTTCCCTGACCAAAGTAGCTCTGCCTAGAAATCCTATGTCATACCAACCAGTTCCCTTTTCTTCTACTAGCTGGACTATTCTCATTATCTATTTGCTTACCATTTCCTCTCCACTAGAATGTAAATTTCCTTATAACAGATCTTATCTTTCTAGTTCATCAATGTATCCTCAAAGCCTGGCATACAATTAATATTCATTAACAGAATAAATCACATTAAAGAGATGACAAGCTTTATGCTAGTAACAATAAATGTTTTTAATTAAAGAATAACAGAAAGTCAAAGCAACAAACTGGTATAAAAAGCAATTTGATGTTCTTTTTACGTTAATCATTCTCATTCTTAAAATAAGTAATCTTATGCTAAGGAGTGATATAGCCCAAATTATATCATGTGCATGTAAGAATATGTAACAACAAATCTCATAATTTTGTACAACTATAATGCACCAATAAAAGACTTTCTACAATAAATTGCTTCTTAGAATATTGCTTTAATATTCTGAAATTATGAAAGTATAAAATATGATCACCTTTAACACAGTTATATATTTGAGTTTAAAACTTATCTGTATGATCACATTCTTTTTTTAATTCACAATTTGTGGGAACTAATTAAGCTAAAATCAGTAAAATACTACATATGTGAGACTTCAAGCCTTCATTGTCTTCTCAGAGTACATCATACATACATTTCTTTCAGTAACAAAAACCATGACTCTGTTCACAAATACATAAATATTCACAACATGACAACAGAAATTATCAACTCACCATTTATTGATCGGCCTCAGATCAATTTACTAGCTTCATTCAAGTCAAAGTGATCAAATTCCAGTTATTAATCAAATTCATTTCATAAAAGACATTACCCCAATGCCTATTATGAAAGAACATTTCCAGGTGAGTTTAGGCTAAAAAGTTATGTTTCATTGTTACCGTAGTACTCTTAGGTCCATCTAATTCAGAACCACAGCAGCAAACCTTATTATTAGATGTAATCTTAAGAGTTATTACCACTATCATTATGACATCACTAAACACCTTATGGCAATACATCAACTACAAATAAGCAGATTTAAAGCTCCAACCAATGGACAAATGACATTTTTTAAAGCTCAAGTAAGCCTTTCCTATTAACACTTATAACACACTTTAAAAATATAATATTCTATCTCAAAATGTTTTAAGGATTGAATATGTTAATAGCTTTAAAATGACTTATAAAAAGGAACATATTCAATATCACTAGATGTTAATAAGTACTCAAAATAGCACCATATCATGCTAGATTTCAAAAACCTAAGAGAAATACATCTATCCTTCATCCACATTTGAAATTAGTATAAATTTTGAACAACAGAGTAAATTCAAATATAGTCATTGAAATGCACAAAAGATATAACCACTGCTACTTAAAATTAGCCTTCTAGTCATATTTGTCAACAGAAAAAAAAAGGATGGTTTTTATGTGATCTTAGTATGGAAACATAAGAAAATATTCATTTTGTTTTATAACATGGTTACTCCATAAAACTGATAAACTATGGGTAAAGCCAAAACAAAATTAAAACAAAGGCCAAAAGTTCAGTACTTTCCAAACCACAATTAGTATTCCTATTTGTTCTTTTACAGTCATTTCCTTAAAAAGAAAGTTCCCTCCATTTAGAAAACTGGTTCTGTATTCCTTTGGTTTTCCTGTTAGTCTAATTATTTGTGTAAACAAACCAACTTCAGGATACCTAGAATTAACCCACATATTGAGAAAGACTCATTTTAATACCAGAAATTATTTACTTATCACTGTCTTTCACAGTGGCCCTCAGGACCCAATAGATTGCTGATAAATTCAATCATAAGACTTGTTCCCTTTGTTTTCAGATAAGCCCTAAAACTGCTCAAGTTAGTCAAGATATATTGAACAATATTTCAAAAATATAAATTTTCTTCCGATTCTCAGAAAAAAAAAAAAGATACCCACATCAATCAACCCAGAAGTCATAATCTTGACTTTTACTGTCTGCTCAATTGATAAAAACCAAAAGTTGTTCATGTAAGGTATAAATTTTAAAAACTAATTTTAATCAATTTGAAGTGTATATGTTTGCTCAGGATAAGAATAAACAAACAATAATTTCACTAATTCTGTAAAAATAATCCATTCCCAGCATATAGCTGAAAACATTTTTCATTAGAAAGACAATGTTATGATTTACCAACAGTTTATCACTGTCAAAGCTGAGATAAATGCTTTTGTAAATATGTACTGCCCAAATTTCTGAAATTTGGATAATAATTCTCTTTCACTAAATTCTATGCCATAGTAAATGTCTAGAGACTGCAATATAACATCAGTCCTTCATTACTTAACTTCTAAAACAGTAAGATGTTTTCTTAATAGAAAACAATGGGAAATTGATACAACGCTTGTGTGATATACCTTCAAACAACCATCATTATTCACAAATACATTTTAAGAGGTTAGGTTACAAAGACATTAGAGATGACATCTGACACATGTGGACCCTAGAGATAGTGAAATCTCTTCTTCATCACTCAAATCACTTAGATGTCAGGATTTGTGAATACTTGGATAAGCATCTCAACTACCTCTCAACTACTGTCTTAAGACAAATTGCATACATTTTAGAAAAAATCTCCTACATATATTGATGCTGTTTGTTTTTATTGAAGTCACGCTAACATTAAAAAAAAAAGTAGGTCTAAATTTAAGAAAATGATTTCAAATATAACTCTGGCTTTTTTAAAATGCATGTTATATACCTAAATTTTTAAAAATTACATCCGAAATACGTAAACTATCACAGAACCGCATTAAACTTCAATAGCAATGTACCTGATTTTTTAATAGCATTAAATATTATCATACAAAGACTTCTCTAAATGCTGCTTTGCTTTATGGTTTTGTAAATAATTTCTCTGAAAATGTATACAATAAATATGCCTCTAAGTTACCCAAGTCAAGCTCAAACGCTATGTGGAACAAGGAACCACCTGAATCAGTAGGAGAAATTTTGTGTATGTATATATGGCCTTTTCTTTTTTTCTGGACAAAAAGTCCGTTAAACTTTCAGCTTTTCAAAGGGGTTCATAACTCCGTTAAGATTAAAGTGCCTGAAGGGACTGTCATCGTTAGATAACTTGTCACAGGCAAACCAAGCTTTATTTTTTATGCCAAACTAAGGAAGGGTTTATTCTAATTTAGGGGCTCCGATACAATTTCTGGGTGATGCCAGCATGAAAAGGCTGTCGGATCCAAACAGCCCCCTACACCCACGGAACGCACCAAACCTAGGGGCCTTAAGAGTCAAACCCATTAACAGCCCTACAGCTCAAACATCCACTGGATCTTGCAGGAAGCGCCCTCCCCTTTCACCAGAGGGGGCTGCGGGCGGCGACTAGGTTCTTTGCAGGGGTTGAAATCCCCTCGGGGGTCACTCGCCACGCCCACAGCACCAACAGCCTCCTCCCGCCCCAAAGGCGCCCCCTCAAGTAGCGGCTAGATGCGTGGGTACAGCAGAGCCGCCCGCGCCCCCGGCCGCCGCAACACGGTCGCAGCGACCTTCCAGTCCCGGTCCCTCTGAGCGGGGAGCAAGCCCCGTTATCACGCTGGTCACACAGCCCACGAGGGAACGGGAGGAGGAAAGCGGGACAAAAGAGCCCAACCCGAGGGGCCCAGGCGAGCTGGAAGTTGAGGATGGGGGCTGCGGCCCGAGAAGGCGCGGTGCGGACTCGCGGCAGCGGCGGGGATGGTCTGCCGAGATGCGGGGCTATGGCCCGCCAGATGTCAGCCCGCAGGGCCAGGAGCAGACAGCCGGAGGAAACGCGGAGGGCGGGCGCGGGCACGCGCCGGCGTCGGGCAGGCGGCCGGGGGAAGGCCACAGCAGGGAGGGGAGCGGCGGCGGGTCCTGAGGCACCGTAGGCTGCTGCGACCCCCACCCCACCCAGCCAGGGGCTGTGCCCTTCCTTACCCGCCGGGAAGCTACGGGCCCCGCCAGGGCTGTCCTGGCCGCTGGCTTCGGGGGCCAGGAAACGGCCCCACATCGCGGGCGTGTGGGCCAGGGGCTTCCTACACCCTGCGTCCGTCCTTTCCAGCTTTCGCCTCCTGCTTCTTCAGGGGCGGAAACTTGTGCCGAACCTGGGCCGCGGCGGCTCCGGCTGTAGGGTGGGCTGGCGGCTTAACGGCTGCTCAGCGACGGGCAGGGACCACAGGGGCCAGATTCGCCGCAGTGGCGGCAGCTGCCATGGCCAAGCCGGTTGGGCTGAGGCCGGGGCCGGGGAAGCCGCGGCTCCGCGGTGACGGCAGCTCGATCCCCGGCTGCGCCTGGGCTCAAAGGCTCTCAACGAAGTTGCAGCTGCGGATTCTCTCCGCCCCCTCCGCCCGCTGAGCCTGAGCCAGGCCCAGGCCAGAGCTGGGGAGGGGGCGGGGCCTGGTAGGGGCGGGGCCAAGGGGACTTACTTAAGGCGTGCGTGGCGTGGGGCGGGTTCTGCAAACAGGAGGGCGCCCTTCCTTGGCTTTGCGTTTTCTGCCGCAAATAGCAGGTCCCGCAGCTCATCCTTAACCCGTCTTCTCAGTCTCGGTTCACTGCCAGACGACTGGAGGGCCTTAAATTGGTCCCGGGCTCTATCTTGTAATCCACGGCCCCTCCCTTGGGTAATGTTTCACGCCCTTCTCCTACCCTTCTGAGAGACGTGGTCCCGCCCTTGCATCACCTCGGTTGGTGATTTAATTTAATAAGGGAAAAAGAGATATAAGACAGGTATCAAAACATCTACCACACAGGAATGTATGTGAAAAAGGGTAGGGAAGTTGAAAAGGACCTGAGGGTAATTAGAATCAGGAAATGAATTTCAAGGGGAAGCGTAATGATAAACTAGTCGCCCAGTATTTCAGATAAGCAATTGAGTCAAAACGGCACCTAAGTATCAATGATAGAACCTTCCTTCTTGCCACCTACACCCTAGCATCTGCCTGCTCCTGATCAGTTTTCACCTTTTTCCTGAACTGTTCCTAAGGAAGGACCAAAAAATGAAGTATTCTATTATTTTAAAGTCTTCTCATTGAAAATATGATGATCCTACCAGTATTTAGGTACAGAATAGTTCATTTGAGTTATACTGATCGAGCATCACAGTAAGAGGCCCTTTTTGCCTTGGGGGCAATCAATCAGTGGTAAACCTGGATCCAAGTCCCTACCTCCAGAGGCTTTGAGTCCAGGACTGCTTTTCCTGTTTGAAAGTTTGCTAGCAAAGTCCTCATATTTGTAGTTTTTTCTTAAAGACGCTGCAATTGGGAAGTACCGCTTAAAACTTAATAAAGGTCAAATTACCTTTACGTGTGTATCCTCTTACCACATCTGTGTTGCAGTTTATCTGATTGCCAGAGTACATTTAGTCTCCCTCCAGTAAACTTCCAAATCATGAGATGTTGGCCAAGGGCCAAATGTTTTTGATGATAGAAAGTGACAGAAACTAGAAAGAAAAAAAAAAAAAAAAAGAATGTAGTTGTTTCATTTTTCTGATTAAAATATGTATTAGCTCACTTAATATGACACTTGAATGAGATAGGTAGTTACTAACACTATATCAAGTATACGTTTTTTTCATGGTGTATAGTTAACATAGTCATTGGGCACAGTGTTTATTAAATACCAAACTTTTTGATGCAGTTCGAAGAAATGTATGAAATATTACAGATATCTTAATCCTTTGTGAGTTTAAAATACATTCATTTGTTAATTCAAAAATTGCCAATTTCCACTCAATTCTAAACAGAGAAAAATCATTCAAGTTTTCTACATGTTTTATCAATGTGAAGGACGTTACTACACACAAAGTACATGTGAATCTGAGGCTACATAAAGTATGTCAATACCTATTACAGAGTAAGAGCAAAAAGTAAAAACATGTTACTTTTGTGGCACTTAGCAACGAAGATGAAATTGTTGTATTTCTGTGATTAAACTGGGGGGATAAAGAGCTAATGCAATTAAGGTCATTGAAATAGTAAGTAAGAATATTATATTGATGAAGTGATCTGTAATTAGAAATTCATTTCAATCATATGAATTCTGAGTACTGAAATGTGCTTTCCCCACATCTATGCATCATGTATATTTGGAAAGATTCATGCTTCTCAGAATTCAATGATTAAAATTTATTATAGTACAAGATAGATAACCTAAGGACTACTATTACTAGCCCTGATATTGTAAACTGGCATATATTTTGTTGTGATATTATTTTAAGACTACAAGGAGAATATTACAAGCAAAGATTATTATTGTTGGAACTCAATCTTGGTAACAGTTCTACTAAGCAGAAGTAATACAAGTGATGAAAATAATATATGTTTATGTGTATACCTACATATATGTGATTTATATAAAACTGAATATTTGTGTATATCTACATATTTATAAGTATGGTTGCTCAGTTGAAATTTAAGTACTTAATGTTTTGGGAGGAGACTTTTTAAAGACAGAAACTAGATTGCAAGAAGAAAATAATACTAAAAACACCATATCTAATATCAAACTATATTAAACACTCTTTAAAATGTTGCACAAAAAAACATTATTTTAAAGTGAAAAATCATTCATAACTCTTAAATTTACATTTTAATCTCTGGTCTGATTCAATTGAATTATCTTATATTTATTTTTCTGATTCAAATTTATTAGATTGGGCAAACAACAACCAGAGAGGCGTGACAATGCACAGTGACAACATTTTAAAAACAGAAGAAAATCCCATGCATAATATGGGAAAATCTCAAGAAACTTTTATATTTTTAACAATATAAAAGATCAAAAATACAACCAGAGAAATAAAAATTTGTGCTCTATATGTGTGATATGAATTGTAATGCATTCTGTGTCATATATAACAAATTAAAATTAAAAGATAAAAGATCAAAAAACTTCAAACAATATGTAGAAAAATTAAACCAAGCAATAACAATTGAAACAGTTCCTAAAGAATGGTTGCCACTACATAGAAAAATTTTATGAAAGGATTATGAAAAATTCCAACAACTGGATAATTCAGGTATATAAGTACAATGATTTACAACCTTTTCCAGATCAGAAAAAAATGACATGTAACCCCAATTTATTTGGAGTTTTTATAATCCCAAATAATCATAATAATGAAAAAATAAAACTAAGAACACTTTTTTGAAGATGGATTTGAAAATATTAATTGAATTCCTGGCAAATACAATTTAGATATACAATAGTTATTAGGAGACAGGTAGGTTATTTAACCTATCTGGGGCTCAATTCCCTCATCTGTAATTTGGGATTATAACTCTGACTACCTCATAGGACTGTTATGGGATTAAATGAGTTAATATTTGTAAAATACATAGAACAGTACATCTGTGCACCTGTATTGGGATACAGATTACCATAAAATCAAGTAATGGAACTCTGTTAAATACCAATAAGAAAAAATAACAATTTTATAGACCAGATCAGTTGTAGATCATGTTTTCTAAACACGTATCAAAATAGAGTAAAGTACTTTTTAGAATCTTTTCCTGACCCTTCAGGGTTACTAATTAGTCTGGGGATTATGTGAAATAGTAAACTGTTCAGAAATCTTTCCCAAAGTGGGGAAAAGTTAATAGAAGTCTTCACTCTAGGTTGTATGCCAAACTCCCTGTGTGGATGTCTGGTTAGCTACTGGATTTGGTGTCCCTCCCAGTACTATCAAAATGAAGGGAGGAAAATTAGGGAAAATAGCTGGCTGGTAATGGCCAAGCCAAGAAGACAAGGACACCTCATCTCAAGACTCTGATTCGTATTAGGTATAGAAAATGCATTTCATCTGTACCTTTGCCTCAAGAGTTAGATTGCAATTACCAATGAGAAAGTAGGTAAGATATGGAACATTAAAGCAGCCCGTCAGCAGATAGGAAGTTGGGGTAGGAAAAGTAGAATTCAACCAGCACATGAACTTCAAAGTACCGTCAATATTTACTGGAACTGCTTAACTGATACACTTATCATAGAACTTGAGGTCACCAACTACTCAAACTCAGCCTATGAAAAGAAGTGAGCTCCCTTACAGTGAAAAGGACACAGCAATCTTGACAGTACATAAGGAGACAAATTCTTCCCTGCCTGCCTTCCTTTGAAGATACAGGAGAGGTCAAAAATGCAAATCTTGTCGTCTCCACACAAAGCCTCCTCTCTGACCAGCACTGATGGAGAACGGAACCGTTTAAAAACTGAAAAGTCAAAAATATTGTGGAATTAGATAGAGATGTACTCAGTGGAAAATGGGGTTATCGGTAGAATACAGTGGTAGTAGTTATTGAAGAAAATAGACCTTCAAATATATATGTTCAGTAACTTGTGACATTGCACTAAACCAGTTGCATATTTTATGTAATCTTCACTGTCATATACAGTTAATATTGACTCCAGTTTAGAGATTGTGAAAAAAGGACCGAGAGAAGTGAAATAAGGATATATGGGATGTAAAGAGCTTGACTTCAAATCTGATTCATGTGACTCCAAAGCCCATGCTTTTTCCATCATGCTCTTTAACATGTTGTAAATAAAAATTATAAAATTTTTCTTCAGATGCCATGTGGGAAGGAGTTCCTAATTCTAGAATGTAGTGTTTAAGGTTCAGCTAAGATTGGAAACTGTGACATTAATCTGTGGCACTATATGATTTTGTTTAGTTGCAGCTAGCAGTTTGAGTATGAAGGAGAAAGGAAGATAGATGAACAGGATTTTTGCAGTGTAGGCACTTAGGAAAGGGGGCAAAGTCCTTAACAATGTTAATAAGAGAAGGGTTGAAGTAGTGGGCACCTGAGGTGTAGCCTATCTAGAAAAAGTACTGAAATCAAGAGCAGGCTGAAATGCAAAAAGAAAGTGGAGAAAATAAGGGAGTAGACATTTCACTATCAAAGAATAAATATAATCAGTGTAAGGGAATGAACTTGGAATGATATGACTTTAGAGTGAGAGTAGGATGTTGAAGTTTAAGATTTTAGAGGTGATGCATAATATTGGACAAATTATATTGCTATCCAGTATTTGCATATTAATATGTAACAACAAATCCCATAATTTTATACAACTATGATGTACCAATAAAAATGTAGAATAAACAGAGTTCTTAAAAAAATATTTTAGAGATGGGGCAGTGGCAATATTGGAGGTATGTGTCTGAATTGCCTTTAAGAAAGACCTGATGTTCAAAGAGTGCAGTTGGCTAACAGCCTCTCTGCCTCAGCTTCTGAGTGGAGGCTGCACTATTCTCAGAGATCCCCAACCAATGACAGTATGGTGCAGAGAGAAGACTTGGCCATTCTTTCCAATGCCGAACCTTCTAATCCTCAATCTGTG